GCGGGGAGGGGGCCCAGGTGAGAGCGCGGCGTGCCTGGGCCCCCAAGTTCGGGACACGCCAAAAGCAAACCCCGCGACAGTACTGGGGAGGAATGGGCTTGGCGACCCCAGGAAGGTAGCTTCTGCCCCAACAGGTGCGCGGCCCCCCAGTACTAGGATGCTGCAGCCAAGGGCGGTGTGGCCCAAACCCTGAGAAGGGGGTTGGCTTGCGTGAGCTGGATAGGGCTCCCCACACCTGTTGCGCGAAAGATTTCCTTCTAGTCCCGCCAGGGTGGGGGTTCCCTTCCTCACTTCTCAACCAAGGATTGTGCCACACATTGCCAAGGCATCCATGAGAACTGGGGCAGAAAGGGGATGTTTTAGGTGAGCCTGAAGGGAGCGAGAAAGAAACCAGAGGGTGGAGGTGGGGAATGGTTATGGGTGGGACAGAAGAGGGGATCCTGGCTACTCAGGTGTTGGGAGGGGCAAAGGGCAAGGCTCCTGAGAATCACTGGTGTAAGGCCAGATTCTCCCCTTAGCAGGAGGGAGGGTGGAGCTGAGGGGGCAGTATCCTGGTTTAGGTACTGTACCCCCCTGCACCACTCAGTCTCCATCAAAGGAGCACTGAGATCTGAGGTAAGAGACAGAGCAGCGACCCTTACCTTGAGAAAACTTCTCCAAAGATCTACCTATTTGAGCTCGCTCCTTTTTTTCTTTTCTTTTCTTTTTTTTTTCTTCTTGAGTTGGAGTCTCACTCTGTTGCCCAAGCTGGAGTGCAGTGGTACGCTCACTGCCACTGCAGCCTCGACCTGCTGGGCTCAGACAGTCCTGCCTCAGCCTTCCAAGTAGCTGGAACCACAGGCGTGTGCCACCACGCTTGGCTAATTTTTCTTGATTTATTGTAGCGAGGAGGTTTTGCCAAGTTGCCCGGGCTGGTCTTGAACCTGTGGGCTCAGGCAATCCTCTCACCTCGGCCTGGGATTATAGGCGTGAGTCACTGCACCTGGCCTCTCCCTCCTTTTTTAATCTGAGCGAAATTATTCCTTTGAATTCTGATTGTCTTCCTGGGGAACCCAAGAGGAGGATGTGAAATAGACGGGGAATATACTTGAAGGCCTCTTAATGTCTGGACTCTTGTCTGAGCTCAGTCCTTTTCCACTCTGAGTTTCTGACACCCGGGAGGGTGAGTTTAGCAATCTGCTCATCCCTTTATCTTTCTGGGCTGGGGAGGATTCAGAAAACCAAAACCCTGCCATAGCTTAGTGAGGTCTATGTGTGGCACAACGCACTGTGCATGGGACAGAGGCAGGCCCTGCACACCAACTGGCTTCCAACCCATGTCTCTTGTTCATGTTCCCTTGGCAAAAAGGAGAGAAGGGGCCCATCGTAAGACTATCTTTAGTCTGTCTACTCCTATGCGTGGCTAATGCGTCTGGGCCCGGTCCCTTCCTCATGCTGGATTTGTTGGGGCCTCTATGAAAAGACAGTCACTTTCACTGTTCCTCTCCTGAGGTCACAATTCCCTCTCCGGAGCCCAGCACCATTTGGGGGTTGAGATATATTTTGGATTTTTCTGTATTGGAAGTACCCAGTCACTGTCTCACTTTTGTGCCCTCTCCCAGCTCCTCAGTATTTCTCGTATCCTTTTTCATTCCGTCTTTTCAATTCCTTCTGTCTTGGAGAGGACTAGAGAGGTGTGAGAGAGTGAGACCCTCAAGTTCCTCTTCTCTTGGGAGATGAAGAAAGCAGTGACTGAGGCAGTTGCTTCTTTCCCTAATCCCCAAATCTATCTCCTAGCCTCTTCTTTTGGGACTTTCCCAGCCACAGGCGGTCCTCAGGACTGAAGGTAATAGTCTGCCATCAGCCGCATTCCTTCCTCACATAGCTTGTTGTCTTCTCCCCACCACTGGGACCACGGTGTCTAAGTCTGCCCTGAGGCATGAGTTGCCATGCCAACCACCCCCAGGAGATGAGTTCAAGTTCCTCATACCTGGGCCCTTCCCCTGGGTCCTGCAGGAGCTTCAGAGCTTTCCTTCTTCTCCCCATATCTCTGAGTTGCTACTCAATGCCCCTTTCATTTCTCATCTCACCATACCTGCCTACTCCAGTTCTCATGTCAATCTAGCGCTTTCCTGCCTGTAACAAGACATGTGCCTGTCAGTATCCATGTGGTCCCTAACCTTTTTTCTTTTCCATGGCTGAGAATAAAGGGAGAGAGCTGCAGGCAAGAAAGGATTAGGGGCAAGGACTCCTGCTGATTCTTTCTAGGAGAGAGTTGTTAGACTGGCAGCTGGCAGGTACCCAAATCATGGGAGGAAAAGCCTAAATAGGTTTGAGAGTTGGAGTTCTTGGGAGGCTTCAGAATTTTCACTAGCTTCTCCTCTAAGTGCACCAGGGAGCTGGGCAGATCCCAATCCCTGGGCATTGAATTGGGGAAACTGAGGCAGGAACTAAGACTTCTGGGAAGCTTTAAAGACTCCTCCCCAGCAAGCTTGAGTATATAGACCAGGAAGAGACCCCTAGGATTCTAGCTGCTCGGTTGTCCCCAGGGAACTCAGGGAGACCAACGGAGCTTGGCAGGGCCCTCCTAATCTAGCCCCTGTGCAGATTCCTCAGGCAGTCCTCCCCTCCAATCTGGTCTCAATACTTGGAAACTGCCAGCACTGGCCGCTCCCTCCTCTACTACCCGGTGCCCCTTCCACCCCCGGGCACACTCCCTCTGGTTTCCTTCCCTCCCAATCGCTGCAGTCTCCCCCAAATGCGAGCCCAATTCCTAGCTTGGAGCAGGCTCTCCTCTCACCCACTAGGGATCCCCCCACCCCAGCTCCCCACGATTACCTCGTTCAGCAGGAAGGTTGCACTGGAGTCAGAAAAAGACATAGACCGGGCTAGCGGCCTCTCCCCCTCCCCCGGGCCAGGGGCTCCGAGGCGGGAGCAGGACCCGGCCGCTGCTCTGCACACGGGCTCCCGCCTGCACGCCTGGCCTCGCCCCACGCCCGCCCGGCTCCGCCGCCCGCTCCTTCCCTCTCTCCTGGTTCCCTCCCCTTTCCCCCCGCCCTTCCTTTCTCGCCGCCTCTGTCGGCCTCTCTCGCTCTCCCTTCGCCTTCAAAGGGTCCAGCCTCTCTCCACTTCCGTCTCTCCTCTCTACGGTGCTGTTCTCTGTGTGTCTGTGCGCCTCTTGTCCTTCCATCTCCACCCCTCCCCTTCCTCCCCCGTCTCTCCTGCCCCTCCGCCTCTTCTTCAACCTCCTCGCCAGAAAGGGTAGGGACTCTGGAGCCTCCGCCGCCGCAAGCAGAAGGGCGGGACCGGCTCAAAGGCCGCCCCAACACCTGAGCTCTCGGCGGACGGTTCTGGTCCCCCCCAGGCCCTGCTGCGCGCGCCCGACGCCCACCCTGCGGCGCCCGGGGAGAAGAGCGCCGAGGCCCCGGAGGAAAGGACGGGAGGAGGGGAGGAAGGCTCGTGCTCCGCTGGCTCGCCCGAGCGTCCAGGCGCCCCTTCTGGGCTCTGGGGAAGCCACGTCCATCCACCCCTCCCAGGCCCAGACCTCGTGGCTCCTGCGAGATCTATTTAGAGAGAGCCGCGCCGGGATGCGCCCCGCGCCCTGGGCGTTTCCACCGTTGCCCCGTCTCCCAGGTGCTGGTGCCAAGGGGTCTCACTCAGCCCCGCGCAGCGGGAGGGCGATGCGAAGCGAGGCGACTCCTTCCCGACCGCTGCAGCGCCCCCTGGGTTCGCTGGCCCGGTGGCCGCACACGCCCTCCAGGTGGCGGCACCCGCCCGCATCCAGTCCCTGGGCCTCAGGGGTCCGGCCCCGCCAGCAGGAGGCGCTGCCGCGGCCGGAGCCGGGTGGGGAGGGCGCAGCCCGGATCCAGACCCCGCCCAAGACTGAGACGAACCCCTCTCCCCCGCCTTTTCCCCAAGAACTGCGGTCTCATCTCCAGACCCCCAGCAGGGGACCCCAGGCCGCACGGTACTTATCTCCACCCTCATGGGGCTCCTTTGCGACACCCGCGCCCCTTCTGGCCCTTGCCCGTTCCTACCTCCATCCTGGGCTCGAGGGGCGCCCCCTCTAAGCCGGGCAGCGTCCGGGCCGGGCCTGGATAGCAAGGAGTACAGAGTCGCGGGACCGCTCCTCGGGTCAGTACCCCTCCCGCCCCCTTCTGCGGGAGCGTCAAACAGGACAAGCCCAAGTTCTGGCGGGGGAAGGGGGGAGCGGGGGTGTAGTCCCAGCTGGCTCTCTGCCCGCACCTTCTGAGCGGACCGACCGCTCATTGGTCCCTGCATCCCCCTCACCCTTCCCCCAGGTCGGACCCTTCTCCAGGCTAAAGACTGCGGCTGGGGGCGGGGAGGGACGGACCCCCTCACGGAGAAAGACACACCCTGACACGAAATGACCCGAGTCCCCAACTTCCCCTCGGCACCAACTAGAACTCTCCTCTTTCCGATGCGGCGCGTCCCACTCTCCTTGCCAGCCCTTCTTTTAACCCACTTCCCCTGGGAGCTCCCGGGGCCCCTCTCCTCAATCCTCTCATGCCCTGGGGGTCTCGGGAGACTGGCCCTCCGTCTCTGCTCGTCTGATTCTCCACTTGCCCGCATCGCAGCGGGAGCTAAGTTGGAGGAGAAGGAATTATCCTCTCTCCACCCCCGGCTCCCCCGTAGGCTGGATTTAACCTGGAAAGTGCTTTGGGAAGGCACCTCCTCCTCCCCCTCTAGTCCAGTGGGTCCACGGATTCCCTACCACCCACCCACCCCCAAGTTACCCAGCTTTAGCCATTCAGAGGAGAGAAAGATGGGGTGTGTGTGTGTTAAAAATGCGTGTGGAGGTTTTCATGTTTTTTGCTTTGTTTCTGTTATTTTTTGGCTCTAATAGAGCAAAAGCTTTGCCTTTCATTTGGCAATAAGACCTGGAGGGAGAGAGGCTCCCCCCCTTTTCACCTACCCACCCCTCCCGCTGACCAGACTAATGGACTAGCTCCTCTGGGCCTCGGGGCAGCTTAAGTTTCCGTAGGAGAAGGGAGGTGGGGGGGGGTCTACCTGCTGGGATTCAGGCAATCCTTCCGCGTCAGCCTTTCGAGTAACTAGAACCACAGGCACATGCCACCCCACCCAGTTAATTTTTTTGATTTATTGTAGAGACAACATCTTGCCAATTTGCCCAGGCTGGTCTCCA